GAGTTATAAGCCATTATATGAAAAATGGTGCGATTTCGGCAACCTTACCCTACGTAAGTCATCCTATATTGTCTCTTTATACAGATTATTTGTTTAAAAAACGCCAAAATCCTATAATTAAAAATAGCATGTAGATGTAATATATGTAATAGATGTAGATAATTATAATTATATGTATTGATGTCGCAGTCAAAGTGTTAACTCAGTAAATGTATACATTTACTGTAATCTGCTGTAGTCAGTGTATACATTTACTAAATTAACACTTTGACTGTGATATATACATATAATTGCATGTGTAATATATGTAATATATATATAATATTACAATATGTAATGAATACCTTATAATTATTTAACATCAAATCGACTAATCGATTAGATAACTATATTAATAACATAGGATTTTGATGTTTTCTAAAAAATTCCAATCTGTTTAGAGAGATAATATAACGGATCACATACACACACGCTGTAAATGGTGGGCGCTCTTAAAAAAAATTTGTGTTACAAAAAATATTGTCATGTTACTTATCTATCCTTATTTTACGGTTATAGCTTAAGATTTGAGATTTCATTCAAGCTAATTTCCGAATATCTATGACGTACCATTTTTCAAACAACTTAAGAAATAACCAAAAATACATTTCTTTTGCTTTTTAACTGAATTTTTTTTTTAAACTTGATGTGCTGGAGCATTTTTATTACAGATTTGTAATTTACAAGAAAAAAATCTGTCAAAATCATCCTATCAAAATCATCTGCCACATGTTATAAAAAAAATCCTTGTACATATCGATACATTTAGATTTTATCATTATAACTATTTTAATAACGTGCAAATTGCAATTAGTCATTGCAAACCGTAAGATTAAAAAAAAAGGAAATAGAGATTTTCATGCTGGCAAACTCTATTTTCGTGTCACAGAAATAAATCCTGTCGCTTTATTGCTAATTGTGTCATGGGATTTACCAGGTGAAAATGTAACATCGAGGGAGTCATATAGGTGGTTTTACACAACTAATCAGCGTATACATGTAATGTATGATTCCCGTACGAGAGATATTAATCTGCTATAATTTTGGCAATAAAAAGTACGAAATATATTCGATGAGGTAATATGTAATTCTGAGAGTAACGATAAAATGACAAAGTTTAAGGTACGAAACTACGTGAATATTTATTAAGTTGTACGAGTTATTGCGCGCGATGTGTATCTAACAATAATGTCGATCGTTTCATTAACGAGCGAGTTTCCAAAATCAATTATTTCGTCATTAACGCGAGAAAACAAGATGGTTCGAATGAATATGTTTCGGTTTCTTGATTTCGTGTCGAATTACCTTGTAATTACTAGCTCATAATAGATGCGCGCAATATTATGATCACAATTATACGTATTATATGATATCTATCTGTGCTATATCTATCTAATATATATAATATCTTCGATGTACTTTATCAAATATGTAGAACAGTATTGAAAATCGCATAATAAAACTTATATTACTTATCAGAATTTAAATCAAAATTTTATTTGCTGGTTAAAAAGTGATTTTTGCTAAAAAAAATAATTCGCAATAAATTTCTGTTCTATTTATGTATCATAGCACTTACCTCTGACGACCAGCCTCGCTGGTTCGGATGCTAACGCGTCCTGCGTAGTGAAATCACTGGCAGTTACTTGGCATTGCCAAAGTCCGTCATCGAATTCTAACGTGGCTGATCTGACCCATAACGAACAGTCACCGATGTCAGGCGAGCCCACCCACTCGTACTTTTTCAAATGCATACCTATTGGCTAAATATATAAAGAGAAGAATTTCATAAATTATCTCTATTGTAATTTTCTTATATATATATTGGTTACACTTTATTTCATTTATTACTGATTAAATAAAATCATAATTATATCGCTTGTTATATTAATATTTCATTCAAAAATTAATTAACAGGTCTAATTATTTCTACAGTAATATGATAAAATAATTGAAAAATAAATATTTGAATATATACATATATATAATATTTTATTTCGATACATTTTCTTATATGGAGTATATAAAGGATCTTTTATATAAAATATTTACTTTTCCTTATCAGTTTTACATTTTATACAAAGTTATTATTTATTATTAAAGTTATACAAAATATTTACTTTCCCTTAACAGTTGTAACATAGAATGATGAGAAAAATCGATTTAAAAGGAATAACCAAATGATTCCATTTATGATAGCTGAAATACAATATCTCTCATATGCCTCGAGTCATAACGAATAATTTGAGGGATATTAGAAAAACAAGCTTACTTATCGAAGCAGTTATATTTGTCAAATTCACAAACATGTGCTCACATTAAAAACAATTGCAATAAAGTTCCGCGAGATTAATAGAAATCCCGATAATTTGTGCTAACAAATTTCCTAGACAATGATTCACGCACGTCAGCATCCTTCGATCGTTTAATCGGTGAGCTTCTCGTTACCGGAATCCTCTTCCGAGGCGCGCCACGTTGCAGCAGTTCTCTTCTGCCGTTAGTTGCCCTGCACGCTTCCTCCGAAATGAATCATCAGCTTCCGCGGCCCCCGTGTCGGAGGCCGCTCGAGTCTTCTTTCTCGCGGATTAATTCACTGCAGCCGGGAAAGTGCGGCCCTAGCAAATTTCACAGTCATAATGTGGCCGTAATTCAGCGATCGATTTTGCATGCGTCCGCTTTTTAATCTCCCCTCCTTTCTTTTCGCCTTACAATAAGCCTTTTGTCTCTCGCTCGAGGAAGCTTTCTTGTATCTTTTCCTAAAGGCATAATTAAGAATCGTAAATGTAGCAATCTTATGCTCATCTCAGCAGTTTATATCTATTTTTGCTTGCGTAAAGTAATTTTAGTCGGTCTCATCGCTGTCGATATTTATGATTAAATGTCCTGAAACTTTATAAGAATATCTGCTTGTACTTCTTCTTTTATGGTGATAATAAATTGATTCTTGTATGCTTTGTCGTCTATTCTTTTCTTTTACCCAGCTCCGCGAGATACGTTATCGCGATGGCTATTATATACCGTGTATATCATCGGCGTATCGGTCGGGGTCAAATTGTTTTATCCGTAAGTTTGTGGCAGCTTTGTTGGAACGTATAGCGAAAAGGCTTCGCCGTTTAAAGGTATTAAAGTCGGTTAATGAGTTTCCGTAATCCACCAGTAGCCCACTGTATTGAATTGGTGACGCCTATGTACTGTTGATGGAAGATATTGAGTTTGCCTTGCAAATTGCTTCTTTACTTTTATTAAGTTAAACTGATCCGATAAAAGAATATGGAAACACTTTAATGTGATTTTCTCTCTCTCTCTCTCTCTCTCTCTCTCTCTCACTCATGAATCACTATACAACAAAATCGAGCAAAATCTAACAAGAAACTATATAATTATTTAATCCTAATCATATGTACAATAAAATGTAATTAAAGTAGTAACGATGGGAAATCAATTTTAATTCAACTGAATTTTAAATCTATTTAATTTATTTTTAAATTTCTCTATTTTCCTAAAAAGAATAACAAATAGGAATAGATAGTCTATAAGGGAATGTACAACTATGTCGCAGAGAATAAATTCCATTCCTTCCGAGTGTCTCGCTATTCTGAGAATGAAAATGCCACTCATGATATACTCAATCCAAGAATCCAGATTCTTTTTACGTGGAATTCCCGCGCGTGGTGGCCGCTTTGAAGCGGACGAGTCCTTAACTTCGAGTTTCTCAGGGGATGCAATGAGAGCTCCGTTAACTACGATAGGACGCCGTCGTGCGACTATATTAGTAATGAGCGGAGCGGTGTTCCCTGCGGAATGCGCAGTTTATCACTCGGTGGCAGACACAATAATACAATGGCGAAATCCTGGCGAAGATTATTCGCGCGTAGACGAAGAGCGCAGGATATGCGCCCTCAGGACAAGAAGAATAATGAGTTTGCTGGCGCGTACTTCTGCCTAATGTTAGAGTGAAACGACGTCTATTGCATACAAGCAGCACGAATTAACGTCCTAGGTCATTGTCAGATTAATATCGTATCATTCTCAAATAATCTCCTTTTCATTCTGTCGCATTACAAAATGTCTACGCTATCTTAAATGCTTCAATCTTTCACGGTATAATTGAAGAAACGTTATAAGAATGCGTAAACACTGTTACAGTTTTATTACAATAATATTTTATCTATTACACTGTATGTGTATATGTATATGTTATATACATGTTTTAATTATATGGCAATGTTACACGTTTATGGAACTCTGCTCGAAATCCATTTTATTATTTTTAAGCTTATATAAAAATTAATTAATTAATTTCTTGAATTTTCGTAAATTAACTTTTGTATAAGCAACATAATTAATAATACAAAGTGATTTGCTTGCAATTAAAATACGCGATGGTAAAATTAACGATAGCTTAATTTCATCATTTTCTCTTCACAATAAACAGGATGTTATTAAAAGACAAGGTTAATAAAATAATACTCTATGTACCTTTTATTTCAAGTTTTATTCTTTTTTATTTCGGAATGCACTGTGTTTCTTGCATCGAAGTGACGTAGAAATTATAAGTATAATTATCCAAACTATACCAAGTCGCACATTTCGTTGATCACGCCTATAAAGAAGCACACGCATATCTAACTTCTCTGATATCCTAAGAAACCAAATCGCCGCAAATCAGTTCGACGGTTTCCCAAACACACATACGGTCGCTCTTACGTAGAAGCCACAAGACATTTTTCGAATGCACACCGAGAGGACATTCTTCCCTTTAGGAATCGAATATATCCTTTTTCTTCTCAACGAGAAGCCTGCAAATCCTCCCGAACAAACAAAGAACGAAGTAACATCTGCGCACAACAAATTTTAAAGTTACGAACTTTATGGCATTTACCAGAAGGATATACCATCAGTGACGGGGCAAGCTTACAGCAAGAATTTCGTGGGTGGTTTCCTTCGAAAGAAAGGAAGGAAGTAAGAAAAAAAGGAAGAAACTGGCTGATTATACTGGTCGCGGTTTTGCACTATCGGTTTACGTCCTACGATCTATTTCGTTGCTCTCGAAGAGATTGCCACTGCGTCCGCATTACTCCGAGGCTCTCCCTCGTGTTATCGAGGCCTTTGGCCCGGGGGTATGTACCCTGGCCATTTGCCGTAGTCGTGACTAAGTCTGTATTCGTCAGCGTGCCCGTGCCTACGATGGTTGCATTTACGTCTGTGTGTGCTGACGGGGTGGATGGGGGTGTGTCTGCGGGTGCATTACGTTGATTGCTGGTCGCGGCCTCTCCGGAGAACACAGAGAACATCGAAGAGGTTCGGCGAACTGAGGTGGGTAGGGGTGAAGATGGTTGGGAAGCGGGCAAGAAGAAAGAAAAAGGAAAGGGGCCCTTCCTCTCTTCGGTAAGTAAGCGAACAGTACGCTGTATCCTCGACGCGTACGGATTTTAATCCTTTCAATGAACAACTGCGACTTCTCTGAGCAGTTTTTCACGAATAATTCTCTGTTTTTAATCCTCTCACTTTTCCATGGATCATGTACCGCCTTCCATGAAGTTGATTTGGATGTTTATTCGTTTATGTACTTTTAATAACGTTGTTAATCACATATATCACTCTTCTTTAATTTAGAAATATTTCTTGGTATATAAAGATTATAGAATTTTCAAACTTGACTTTAGTAACAGATTTACATTACGTAAAAAAAATAAGAGAAATTACCTACATTCTGTCTTCCAAAAATAACAATTTTCAAGAGAGTATAAATTCGATTAAAATCATCATAATGGAATAATTAAAGAAAAGCATTTTAAAGCTTAAAATCTTTTTTTCAGATCAGTACTTTAGATGACAAGTAACTTTTTACGAAGTTGTAAAAATATAAATGGAACTCTGTTAAAAATTTTTATAAACTTTGCAAAGTTTCACGATGTGAATTAAAAATCGTATACAGTTTGCAGCTTTTGAAAGAATAAACCTTTACTTTTAATTTGCATACTTTTTAATTGTTATGTTTTTTCACCGAGTTTTATTTAATATCAAAGCAAAAAATCTTTTTTACTTTGACTGCTCACAAAAGACGAACGGAGTAGCGCTCGATGATAAACGAATAAAATCTAAATTTTTTTTAAGCGTAAATTTGATCGTAAAATCTCTTTACAATATGTGATGCGTTTGCTGCAACAGAATCAAGCAAACATTGTTTCAAAGTCGTTGCTTTGAACACAAAAGACATAATTACGTTAAGGTCATAGTGTTCTTAACATTTCTCGCCCGGATATATCAAGTTGAATAATAACGTGTCAATCGTTTAATTTTTAACGCCTCATTAAACAAAGTTTTACATACAAAAAGTTTTTTTATATCGAAAATACGATAGGTGCATTTTAAAGAAAAAATTCAGATTCTTTTATTTGTTTTTTGAAAGATACCGAATGCTTATACATACTCCGTTCGTTTTCTATCAGTCAAAGTTAAAAAGACACTTTTTGGTTTAATAAACAATTTAGTGAAATCGAGCAAGTACTCCACAAGTACTCAAACTGAAGATAAAAATTCATTCTTTGAAAAGCTGTAAATTGCTTTCGTGTTCAATTTTTAATTTATACTATAGAACAAAGTTCGTAAAAAATTTTGAGATTTCACGGATCTTCATTTATATATCCATGTAGCTCCATAAGAAATCGATCAGATTGTTATCTAGCACCGATCTAAAGAGAAGAGACTTCAAGCTTTAAAAATGCTTTTTTAATTATCTCATTATAATAAT